AGAGAGGGAGGGAGAGAGAGAGAGAGAGAGAGAGAGAGAGAGAGAGAACATTGATGTGAGAGAGACACATCGATTGGTTGCCTCCCGCATGTGCCCCAACTGGGGCCGGGGATCAAGTCTGCAAACGAGGCACGTGCCCTTGACCCAGAATCGAACCCGAGACCCTTCAAGTCTGTGGGCCGACGCTTTAACCACTGAGCAAATCCAGCTAGGGCTTGAGTTGAAATTTTGACCTCAGCTCACTGTGCCCCCTTCTCCTATTAACAACCATACAGTCCAGGTGGGGGTGTAGGTCAGGCCCGAATTGTGACATATCACCCAGGCCCCTGACCTTCCCCTCTGCCCAGACCTCCCGCGGGGCTACAGGCCCAGCTTCCTCAGGTCATGCTGGCTCTTCCCACTCTGGGCTCCCCCTTCAAGCTGCATAGTGTATTCCTGGCCTTAGACCCTCCCTCAATATTTGTAATCTATCGATATCTTCTATGATGTTGGAGCACTAGGAGTGTATCAGACGCTATTGAGAATTTACAGTCTAACTACCCCCGAGAACGCTCCAGTCCTCGGCAGCCTGAGGGCCGGTTCCAGAGAGGCAGTGAACTGGAGAACAATAACATTAGCCCTCTTTTGCAGATGAGGAAACGGAGGCCCAGGGAAGTCTGACCCTCCAATGGGGGACCCAGGCAGGAGGGAGAGGTGGTATCAAACTTGCTGAGAAGATGGAATGCTGAGGCGGCATCTTGCCCAGACCTCCCACCGAAGGCTGGTTCTCACGTCTGGCCAGGCTGGTCCAGCCATCGTTTTGGTTGTTTTCTAGCCACTGGTGGGCACGCCGCGTTGTTCAGTGAAGGGGCCCGGGGTGCCCTAACTCTGGGTGTCCTCTGCGTTCCCCATCATCACAGCCACAGCCTCACGCTGCCACGGGGGTGCAATTTGGAAAGTAGACTTGTGACTGGGCCCGGCTGCACCATGTGTGACTGTGAAAGTTTGAGAGATTAAACACGAATATTTACCAGAAACATCCATGGATGCTTGACATACATGATTATCTTACAAAAGTGAGGTTCTTGACCCAATCTGAGCATGTGGCTCAGCGTCATCTGCAACTGAACATCCTGCCAAGTCAACACGCAGACGGGCAGCAGCGGGCAGGAGGCGCCTGAGAGAGCGGGTGGCCCCAGGCTGTCCCCCAGCCCACGCCTCAATGGGGCAGCTGAGTCCCGGCCTTTGGTATTGCCTGGTTTTACACTGGGGATTAGTTCTTCTTTGTCTTATAAATAGCCAAACACATGCCTGGGTTAGCTGTTAATCCATGGGGCTGGCTCTGAGATTTCAGAATCACGTCTAGCTCAGTCTGAGCTGATAGCACACACCACACAGCGACCCAAGTTAAAGGAACACAAAATGCGAAGCACAAGTCCAGTTTGGAGGCTGTGCCTGGCTCTGAGGCCCAATCACAGGACGGAATAGGCTGAGAACAGGCCGCGGGAAGCAATCCTGGTACCCGTCATTCCCTATCGCCCCCTCCGGCCACACGCCCTCCCACAGGGGAAGGCGGCACAGTTCCCAGGTAATTCTTCTCTGCAATAAACTTCTCCCATTTGGTCAGGCGGTTTCAGGGCCCAGAGAGAGGGAGGGAAGGTGACAGGGATCAAGAACAGGACTGGAGCACAGGAGGGTGGGCTATAGTTACTAAGAAATGAGAAAGGACTAAGATTGCAAAAAGAGCCCAGCCGGTGTGGCTCAGGGGTTGAGTGGCGACCCAAGAACCAAGAGGTCACTGGTTCGATTCCAGGTCAGGCCACATTCCCTGGGTTGGGGGCTCCATCCCATGGTGGGGGGCATGCAGGAGGCAGCCGATCAATGATGTTTTTCTCTCATCGATGTTTCCATCTCGCTATCTCTCTCCCTTGCTCTCTCTCTAACAATCAATAAAAACGTATTTTTAAAAAAGATTGCAGAGAGAGCTAGGCCACAAAATCGCGAACAGCTGGCAAACAGGCTGCCTCCTCAGCAAAGGAAAACGCACGGCTCTTTCTGGGCACCCAGTTTGAGACGAGCTTTAGGAAGAGGTCCTGCCGTTGCAAACTTGATGCAAATTATAAACAGTGAGCTGGACGCAGTCCAGAGGCGGGGAGTCCAAAGTCAACCGTAAACAAATGGGCCAAACAACCACCCAAGCTTCTAAGTTAAGGGCACATTTATTTCACTCTCAAATTTTCGTTTTAGTTGGTTGAGCTCAAGATCACAAGGTCTTGAGAAAAGCTCTCTGGTGTCAGTCCCGGCAGGGCCACTCCCGGAAGGAGGTGAGAAGCAGGAGAGATTTGCTCAACTAAGGGTCCTGGGAGACAGCACTGTTTGGGCCTTTTTTTTTTTTTTGGCTTCTAGCTCAGAGGCTGGCACTTCTGCCCTAACGCCCATCTTGTGGGGGGAGGGAGCAGGAGGGCCCCAAATGCTCCCTCCCCACCAGGTTGGGGTCCCACTCCACCGGTGCTGTTGGCAGATTCCAGCTTGGTTTTCCTCCGGAGCCCAGGTCACAATAACTGCCACGAATTGAACACTTACTGTGCGCCATATCTGGAATCCATATGACTACCCTGGGAGGAGATTGTGTTATACTCATTTTAAAGATGAAACTAAGGCTTAAGAATATGACTCACTCAACATCACATGGTTTGTAGAACAGGGGAGTAAAAATTTGCACCTGCAGAGATTTAAAAATTATGTCCACAAATTCTTTAGTGCTCTCCCCTTCAAAAGGCGGACCTACTTCTCTGCCCTTCAGTGTGGTTGCACTTGGTTGCCGGCTTCTAGAGAATGTAATGCCAGTGACACCAGAGGTTAGGACAGCAAACCTCAAAATGCGAAGCACAAGGGAGGGGCAGACACTGCCTCTGTGCAGAGTCCTCTGAAGGTCTTGCCCCCTCACCGCCCACTCAGAACTCTCTCCTGCCCTGTGCCCTAGGGAGGACTTCCCCTCCCTAGATCATTAGCTCAGGGGAAGCTGGTTGTCACACTGTAAGGCAGCCCTATTGAGAGGCCCAGGTGGCATGCGACCAGCCGAGCGAGCCATTCTGGAAGCAGATCTGCCAGCCCCAGTCGAGCCTTCAAATGATGGCAGCCCTGGGCAGCATCTTCACCTTGACCACAATCCACGTGAGACTTTGATCTGAGCAGGGACAACCCAGCTAAGCTGTCCCCCGATTCTTGACGCATAGGAACTGTGAAATAATAAATGGCTATTGTTTCAAACCGCTAAGTTTTGGGATGATTGGTTACACAGCATAAGTAACTAACACAGCACCCAGGCCTGTGCTCATCCCATCAATGGCTGCTGCCTCCAAAATAATGGAATTAGGTGACTCTTTCTTTTTGGAAGACTGAGAGGAGCTGGCCTTGGCTGGAAGGCGGGGGAGTTTAAGAGGATAAAGGTGAGGGATAACCATGAAGGTAGCAGCAGGAGAGTCATGCCTAAGGCAGGTCTGAGTCCCAGAAGATTGGAGGGGTGGCAGCCAAGGAGACTGGGAGCCAGTTGCCAAGAGCTGAGGCGACGAAGACCCAGGCATCCCCTCCCTTCTGATCACTCAGGGGCTGGTTTCCACCGGAGCCCCCAGGTCACAGGGCAGGAGAGAGTGCTGAGTGGGCGGTGAGGGGGCAAGACCTTCAGAGGACTCTGCACAGAGGCAGTGTCTGCCCCTCCCAAGGCCCTGCCGAGGCCAGGCTCCTGCAGATGGGGGACAGTGGAAGAGTGCGTTCTGCTACCCACACAGGTTCAGCTCCAGCAAGTAGATTCAAGCCATTCTTCCAAGACACAAAATTACCGATACTGTTGTGTTTCTCTCATAATCTTCATTCCAAAAACATATTGTAAACCCCTCCCCTCCATAAACCTTCTATGCACAAATTCAAATCTGATATCAAGCCTTTGAATGCTGACAGTTTGTTCTTTTCTTAAAGCTTGAACAAATGCATCTTTACACACAGAGAAGTTGGTAAAAAGTAAACCCTCCTGCTTTGTTAAAAATAAAACTCGCCCTGGGCTGGTTTGGCTCAGTGGATAGAGCATTGGCCTGTGGACTGAAGGATCCCAGGTTCAATTCCAGTCAAGGGCACCTGCCTGGGTTGCGGGTTGTCCCTTGGGGAGTAGGGGACGTGCAGGAGGCAGCCAATCAATGATTCTCTCTCATCATTGATGTTTCTATCTCTCTTTCCCTCTCCCTTCCTCTCTGAAATCAATAAAGAAATATTTTTTAAAAAGGAATGTTATATTTTTAAAAAATCAATGGAAAAAATATCCTTGGGCGAGGATTACAAAAACAAAAAAAAACCTCATCCATAAAACTTTCTGGCCAAACTCCCGAAGCAAGAAAACATCGCATTTCTACACCAGCCATTTTTGGGTATGTGTGTGTTTCCCAGTCCATACGACTCATTCAGGCCTGGCTGAGCAAAGGGAAAACTAAGACCATGGAGGGAAAAAGAAAACATGCCTCTCACACATGTTGAAGACAAGTAGCTGTGAAAACAACCAATAGTTCATAGTATAAAAGTTCTCAATCGCCTATAGTTTACCTGTAACCAACAGCAATTGTCACGGTACTAAAGCATTCAAAGACCATTGGCCTATCGAGGCATATCTACAGCAACAAAAGAAACATGTAATTAGCTCTTCTAAATAAGCCAAGAAGAGGAAAAGTTCAGTATAAATGAATACTTGAAGATTCTACAGACAAGAATGAGTCAACTCAAAAAATCTACCACAAAGTATTATAAACATGGGTTTCAGGAGAGCAGGCCTAGAGAAGCTACTCCTAACTAAATGCAGGAGGTACCCAGCAAAGAAAAACAAGCCACTCCCTTTGGGGAGAATTAGTAGGAGATCAATACTAACAAAGATAAAGGAAGATGGCGTAAAAGGCAGATATAAAATCGATCTTTGACGTGAGGATGACTTTATTTCGGGGCTTTTTAGAAATTCCTGGCGGCGCGGGGGCCCCCGCCGGGGCGCGGCCGAGGCTGGGAGGCAGCGCTCGGAGGAACGCGGCCCGGTGCCCATGGCGTTCGCGCTGCTGCGCCCCGTCGGCGCGCACGTGCTGTACCCGGACGTGCGGCTGCTGAGCGAGGACGAGGAGAACCGCAGCGAGAGCGACGCCTCCGACCAGTCATTTGGCTGTTGCGAGGGCTGGAGGCGGCGCGGCGCGGCCCGGGCCCCGGGGGCGGCCGGCGAGCGGGCGGCGGCGCGGGGCCGGTGGTGGTGGTGCGACAGCGGCAGGCAGCCAACGCGCGGGAGCGGGACCGCACGCAGAGCGTGAACACGGCCTTCACAGCGCTCCGCACGCTCATCCCCACGGAGCCGGTGGACCGCAAGTTGTCCAAGATCGAGACCTTGCGCCTGGCGTCCAGCTACATCGCGCACCTGGCCAACGTGCTGCTGCTGGGCGACGCGGCGGACGACGGGCAGCCCTGCTTCCGAGCGGCCGGCAGTGCCAAGAGCGCGGTCCCCGCCGGCTCCGACGGCGGCCGCCAGCCACGCTCCATCTGCACCTTCTGCCTCAGCAACCAGCGCAAGGGGAGCGGCCGTCGTGACCTGGGAGGCAGCTGCTTGAAGGTGAGGGGGGTGGCCCCCCTGCGAGTGCCACGGAGATGAGCCTGGACCCCTGTGGCATTTGCTCCAAGCAGGACCTGGAGAAGGAAGCCAGAGGCCAGCCACTGGTTGAACAGGGGCGAAGACCCCAGGAGCCGATCCTACCCCTCGATTGTATAGGGACCAGAGGACAATGGCTTGGGCCCGTGACCCTTTGGACAGGCCCCCTGGGACATCTCTACCCCACCGTGGAGAGCTGTGAAGACCCATCCAGCTGGCCCCAGCCCTGGCTGGTCAGAGACAAGGCAGGACTTTTGGAAAAACAAAGACTGTTGGTGACAGAGGGTGTGTGCATGAGTGAGTGAGTATGTAAATGTGTGTGTGTGTGTGAGAGAGAGAGAGAATTGGTGGGTTTAAATAAAAGGTATTTTTAAATAAAGGATGTTCCCAACTGAGGAAGGTAAGGGTCTGGGGGACATCGGCGGTCAGAGGTGACCCTTCTCCTGGACCTTGGCAGAGGCACTGATGTCACCAGTGCTGCCCTGTGCCCTGGAGGGATGGGCTGGGAGAATGCAGGAAGACCCCAGAAGTCGGGATAACTAAACTTTCCTCAGGGTCTTCTTGAATACCTGTTGTGGTTGGTAAAGAAACCTTAATTGTATTCACTTTTGAATAAGGAATATATTCATTC